AGCATGATCGGACCATGGGAACGGGGCTTTACGGGGGGTTTTATGGGGTAAAAATTGGTTTTTCTCACTTTTGACCCTCAAAACACAAAATTTCCCAATTTCTAAGAGCTAAAAAAATTAATTTAGTATATAAAAGTATTTTTGTCCGGTTAATAGTAACGGAGAAAATTTAAAAAAATTGTAAATTTAAAATTCCCATGTTATTCTTATGGAGAATATTGTCAAATGTTATAGTTTGCTTTTTTATGGATATATTTTGTATTTTGATAAAATTTATTTATTTTGTACTAAGCTATCAATATTTTACAAAAAAACACACTTTATTAGTTTCCTTGTAGCAGCAAACCTAGGTACTGGTTAAACCTAATGTTATTAAAATATATTTAATTGAATATCGATTAAGACAAATGGAAATTCGCTTAGTTGGCAGGTTTGCTGCAGCGGGGGTATTTCATTTTGATGTCCCCAGAGGCCAAAAACACCATTCGTTCAAATTTGTATATATATACGTCCGTGAACGCGATAACTTGAGTAATTTTTGTCCGATTTTGATGAAATTTGGTTTAAAGATGTAAAGCGGGATAAACTTGAATGAGTTTACAAACCAGCATGATCGGACCACGGGAACGGGGCTTTACGGGGGGTTTTATGGGGTAAAAATTGGTTTTTCTCCCTTTTGACCCTCAAAACACAAAATTTCCCAATTTCTCTTTAGACCTTTTTAAAGAGCTTAAAAAAACAAATAATTTAGTATATAAAAGTATTTTTGTTAAATTATTAGTAGTGGAGAAAATTTAAAGAATTGTAAATTTGAAATTCCCATGTTAGCCTAGCGAATTTCCCATAGGGAATAAGCTATTAACGTAGTACTCATGGTAAGACCTGGACGCGGGACCGATTTTTTTTCGTTTTGAGGTCCCTAGAGGCCAAAAACACCATCCGTTCAAATTCATATATATATATATATGTCCGTCAGCACGATAACTCGAGCAAAAATGATCCGATTTTGATGAAATTTGGTACAAACGTGTAAACTTACGTTTATTCGAACGAGTTCGCGATCCAGCATGATCGGACCATGGGAATGGGGGTTTACAGGGGGTTTTATGGGGTAAAAATAGGTTTTTTTCCATTTTTGACCCAAAAAACATAAAATTTAGCAATTTCTTTCCAAACCATTTTGTAGAGCTTCAAAAAAAAAAAAAAAATTAGTATATTGAAGCGTTATTATGCGCCTAATAGTTTCGGAGAAAATTCCAAAAAATTGTAAATTTAAAATTCCCATGTTATTCTTATGGAGAATAAGTAAACTGTTGTAGTTTGCTTGTTTGTGAACATATTTTGATCAAATTTGGAAAATGTTTTTATTTCTCATTACCTATTCACATTTTACAAACAAAAAAAGTTTTACCCTCCCTGATGCAGCAAACCTAAGTACTTGTTAAACTAATTCTATTTAAATCAAGAATAAATGTTGTATTTTTAAGTAGACATTTCAGTGTAAATCCAATCAGTCAAATGGAAATTCGCTTAGTTTGCAGGTTTGCTGCGGCGGGGGTATGTTATTATTATGGAGTATTGTCAAATGTTGGAGTTTGCTTGTTTATGGTTGTAATTTGATCAAACTTGGCAAATTTATTTATTTTGTACTAAGCTATCAATATTTTACTAAAAAACACATTTTATTAGTTTTCTTGTAGCAGCGAACCTAGGTACTCGTTAAACCTAATGATATTAAAATATATATTTAATTGAAAATCAATTCAGACAAATGGAAATTCGCTTAGTCGGCAGGTTTGCTGCGGCGGGGGTATTTCTACCTGCCCCTTCATCCCTCTGAATAGGATTTGATGTTTTATGTATATAAATTATTACTATTTTTTAGAACTTAAGCGAAAGATTTCCGATTTGATAATATTTGGTGGCTGAAAAGTAATTTGCACCCCTCCCTCCATAACTTTTCAATCATTGGAGATATTTAAAATCGGTTTGCGGGAACTTCTTAGATATGAGGGGCTACAATAATTAATGGTTAATTTAAAAAAATTTGCCCTTAGGGCTTTAGGATTTTGGGAAAGGATTAAGTAGGGAAGCTTAAAATATTAAAATTGGAAGTATAGTCGACTTTGGTATAATTTAATAGGCATTGAGAAAACTAAAAAAAAACATAAAGAAAACAAAAATGGGACCACTAATAACAAAATGGCGCCTTAAAGCGATTCAAATCCAATCAACCATTGAATACCTAAAAAGTAACTTAACCCCCCGCCCCCCATTACACTTTTTAACTATATTTGAAATACAGGGTGTTTTTAAAAGAATGCCGGGATTTTAAACAGTAATTGCTTGGATACTATTCAAGGTAACTAAACGTTTTATACGTCAAATTGAAGATAAAATAAAAAATAACTAAGTTTTGTAACTCATGTGGCAAGAGATAAAACTTTGACTTTAGCATGCGCAAATCAGGTGCGGGGTAATAGACCGCTATTGTGACTCATACACCTGACGTCAGCCGCCAGTACGACGTTTATGTTACGTTTAGTTCGCAGAGTTTATATCTATTGCTAAATTTAACTAAATTTAAGTCTACTTGATGATAAAGAAACTTGAAGCTGGTTTCGTGGCACCGAAGTGTTTTGAAAAGACATTCACCTGGCCGGCTAAAAACAAGCGATGACATAGTCGAAGAAATCTGACAATTCTGGATCAGAAGCCCGAAAAAATCTATTGCCCGACGAAGTCTTCAGTTAAACAAACCTAAATTGGTCACTTTATGATGTTATCTATAAAAGATATAGTCTTTGTACCGAAAAAGATTCAGTTAAGACATAAAACAAACCCGCCGATCGCCCTAACCATACAGACTTAGCCAGTTTTACGCTCATATAAGATTGACGAAAATCTGAATTTTACTAAATCATTCCGAACTGTATGAAACAATGAGAAAAACATTTTATTCTTTTCCCTTCACTTTGACGTTTAAATCGTTTAATTATCTTGAATATAACCCGGGCAACAACCGTTTGAAATCCCGGCATTCTTTTAAAAACACCCTGTATTTGAAATCAGTTTGTGGCAATCTTCTTAGAGAGAGACTAAGGTAATTATTATCTCTGGAGAAGTATTGCCACCCTGTTAATTGCAATCGCTATTATTATTTTTTGTCAGTATAATTATGAATTATTGTTATTTAATAGAATAATTAAATTATCGAACCCTCCCTCCTTTCCGCAAGGAAGCTTTAATTTTAATATAAATAGGCTACATTTAAATTGTTTTGTGTTTTTTTTTTATTATAGCGCCAGGGGGATAGACTTGTGTACCAATGGATACAACCACCACCCCCCCCCACCCCCCCCAACAATTGGGTCCTATGCTCATCTGAAAATCTGAAATTACAGTATGTTTCCTCCCTTAAACCCCTTGTTTGTTACTGCATCCCTTTTTCATTGGGAATTAATTTTCACATAATCACTATCTTCTAGTTTAAGGTTTAAAAGTATAATTTGAGTTTGAAATTTGTGAAGAGATTTTTTCAACCCCCCTTTTAGACCTAAAACAGTATAGCCTACTCTCTCTAATTTCTTTTTTCATAGTAATAAAAACCCTTGACTTTATGTATGTTCATCGAAACTTATTCTTTAGGCATACTTCCTTACAGATCTGAGGCTTAAACATCTGTTTAAGGGAGAGGTGTTTTTTATACTTTAAGACCAAGCTTGTCAAAAAAATTACTGTTAGTAAAACAAAATACCCCCGTCGCAGAAAACCTGCATACTAAGCGAATTTCCATTTACCCGGCTTCTACTAAAATATTCCCTATAAATTTTCAGATTTATTTCCTATTTAAATAACATTAATTTTAGTGAGTAGTTAGGTTTGCTGCTACGGGGAAGATATTGAGGTTTTTTCTTTTATTGAAATATTGATAGCTTAGTGTGAAATAAACCAAATTGCCAAATTTGATTAAAATATATCCATAAACAAGCAAACTACAGTTTATTTATTCTATATAATAATAACATGGAAATTTAAAATTTAAATTTTTTTAATTTTCTCCATAGTTAATGAGCATTGAAAAACACTTCAATATACTAAATTATTTGTTTTTTTAAGCTCTTCAAAATGGTCCAGAGAGAATTTTAGAAATTTAAAGTTTTTAGGGTAAAAAAGGGAAAAATGAATTTTTACCCCATAAAACCCCTCATAAACCCCTGTTGCCATATTCCGATAATGCTGGTTCGCGAACTCGTTCGAATAAACGTATGTTTACACGTTTGTACCAAATTTCATCAAAATTGAATCATTTTTTGCTCGAGTTATTGTGCTAACGGACACATATATTATGAATTTGAACGGATGGTGTTTTTGGCCTATGGGGACCTCAAAATGAAATAAACGGCATCAGCACTCTGACACATACTTTCTCCCATAAGTTTGTCAACAACCTTTATCATGTGTAAGCGGTGAGAGTAAATATACGGAAATGGGATTTGTACAATTTTGTTCAGAATTTAACAAATTTTTATCAAAATCGTTCAGGCCATTTTTGGGAAAATCCGATTTTTCCATTATTTTATGGGGTTTTATGGGAAAATCTCCATTAAAAATAAAAATTTCTAAAAAGTTAAAAACTATCAAAACTGTAAGGACTATAACATACTATGTTAAATCAAAACCGAATTTTTTTCTAAAATCCTATTTTTTGTTATTTTATGGGGTTTTATGGGAAAATAACATATTTGACCATAACTTTTGAACCGTAATTTTTACAGAAATGGGATTCGTGCTATTTTATTCAGAATTTAAAGGGCTACAACATACTAAATTTTTATCAAAATTGTTCGCGCCATTTTTGAGAAAATCCAATTTTCCGGTTTTTTATGGGAAAATCGCTATTCAGTAATACCTTACTATACTCCCTACCCATATACTTTATGATATTCCCTGTACTATTGCTATATTCCCTAGTATATTTCCTACTATCGACAACCCACCTCTGAATGGTATCCATTTTTTGCACAACACAAACACTTTACACACAATAAACTTGTTTCACAAGGCCACACACCAACACAACACTCAAGACACAAAACACATTTAAAGGAGCCCGCGATCGGTTAACAAATAACAATACTACTGTAAATAACACAGTGCACCGCAAACGATTACCGAGCCACAACTAAGCACAGACTGTCTCTACCGTGTTTCAACACTCGCGTTATCAGCACTGTGTCAACAACTCTTATCGCGTTCTAATTCGTAGAAAAAAGCAGAGAGAACAATTTAGAGGTTTTATTGGCGGACAAATAGTGATATTTGTATTTTTTATCGCTCCAAAGCCAAAGCGATTAAAACTACACGGGGCTTCTACATTATATGTATTATTTAGCCTCTGTTGCAAGATAACATATTTTCTCGAATGGTTTTTTTTTACTCTAAACATTTTTTGTATCTAGTGGATTTAAGTAAGTAACACATTTTTCCATCTGAAAAACATTCATGCAATCTAAATTCAAAAGGGTGTTATCGTTATCAATATATCTATTCGTCTAAACTGTAGGGGTGTAGTTGAAAGTGTTAATAAAATGCTAGTCGTGTCACACGTAAAAAAAATCACAATATTCACCCTTGAAACAGTGATGCAATAAAAATTCAAAAGGGAGTTATTTTTGTCAATACAGTATTTAAATCTATTGTTCTAAACTGTAGGAGTAGACCACAGAAAACACTGATGCAATCAAAATTTAAAAGGGAGTTATTTTTGTCAATATATCTATTGGTAGGCCTATAGAATGAGGGAATAGACTTGAAAGTGTTAATGAAAAGCTAGTCAAGTTGTACACTTTTCAATTTGTCTGTCGTCTACAAATTTTGGAGCGGACTCAAATGTTTTAATGAGAAACTAGTCGTGTGATATGTAAACTAAAACCTATTTTTCACCTAAACGTGAAACAATCAAAATTCAAAAGGGAGTTATTTTTGTCAATATATCTATTAGTCTAAAATTTAAGAGTAGACTTAAAAGTGTTAATGATAATCTAGTCGTATGATATGTCAAATAAAACCCATTTTCCACTTTAAAAACAGTGATGCAATCAAAACTCAAAAGCAGGGAGTTATTGTTTTCATCTAACTTATTCAAATACTAGTTGTGTACATTATCCACAATAGCTGAATTCGATAAAATCATCGACTTCATCTAACATTACTTCCGTTTCTTTTCCATGGCCATATTCGCGCTGCAGTTATAATTTTGACGACAGCTGTTTGGAAATATATGGCCTCCTTCACTAGATCCGATGCAGGTTTGCAGTACAGCACTGTCATGCAGACGAGTCTATGTCGAGTTGAAGGCGCGTTTGGCTGTGTTTAATGCTAAGAAACGCATTCGGTATTACTCCACCGTTCGTGTCTCCAAGAGTCATTCTCCCATGTGATGAAATTAAACACAACAACAGATCTATTTGAACCGTTAGTATTTCGAGTTGGATTGCTTCAAACAACACTGGAATATTCAATACACCCACTACACCCCAGCTGATAGTTAATGCATTCTAAGTTCACTAAATTAATATTGGTATGAGGAATTCTTATAAAGCAACTTTTATGATTTATGAACTTTCGATAGCTTCTCATTCAAAAATACTTAAATATTTGAAATATTTTTACCCTCTGAAACAGGTTTATACACAAAACTTGTTATATTTAATGTTGTTTTTTTTTTAGCAAATTTCCCATACAGGGAATACAGTAATTACATTAAGTCTCATAGTTAAGACCTAGACCCGGGACCGATTTATTTTTTTGTTTTGAGGTCTCTAGAGACCAAAAAACCATCCATTTGAATTCAAACATATACATATATATGTACGTTAGTGGGATAACTTGAGCAAAAATGATCTGATTTTGGTGAAATTTGGTGCAAATGTGTAAACCTATGTTTATTCAAACGAGTTTGCGAAGCGAACCACCATAATCTGACTATGGGATTGGGGGTTTATGGGGGATTTTTTTGGGATAAAAATAAATTTTTCCCATTTTTGACTCTAAAAATGCAACATTTCTTAATTTATCTCCAAACCATTTTGTAGATCTTAAAAAAAGATGTAATTTTGTATATTGAAGCGTTGTTGTATGCCTAATTGTTACGGAAATAATTTAAAAAAAATTGTAAATTTAAAATTCCTATGTTATTCTTCTGGAAAATAAATAAACTGTTGTTTAGCTAAATTACTTATTTATTTTAACAACATTTGGAAATTTTGTTTATTTAATACTAAGCTATCAACATTGAAAAAAAAACACACCTCAATATGTTCCCTGTAGCAGCAAACTTAAGTACTCACAAATATTAATGTTATTTAACTAGAAAACAAATCTGACATTTTAGGAGAATATTTTAGTAGTGATCCAAACAGGTAAATGTAAATTCACTTAGTCTGCAGGTTTGCTGTGGCGAGGATATTAATGAACTTGCAATGATTTAATTATGGTTTAAAGGTTTTACTGTCAAATGGGGGCTACTGAGTTTGAAGTTACAGGTTAAGCTATGGGATAAAATTCCAAAAAGACATTTAAAGTTTTATATAATTCTTATAGAGAATAAGTAAACAGCCGTAGTTTACTTGTTTATTGATACATTTTTACAAGATTGTTAGATTTATTTCTAAATAACCCCCTTACATATCATAAAAAAATGATTTTTCTCCTTTGTAATGTCATTCTAATGTACATCTAATGTGATTTCAAAAGGGAATAAATCTGACGGGAAAAGTTTCTTTTTCCTATGTATTGGTAAAAAAACAATCAGACAAAAGGGAATTCGCTTAGTCTGTAGATTTGCTGCAGCGGGAGGGGGGTGGGGCTTAAAACTCCTTAAGAATCTTATAACTTTCATCAGCATTTCCCAACATACGGTAACTTTCTAATAGGCGATACACAACATTCGTTTGTTATTCTTCGCTGCCTAGATATGTTTTATATGTTATGTTTTATATAATTTATTTCAAAAATACTCTGTGGTGGTTACAAATGTTTCAATGTGTAGTTTCATTTTATATACAGAGTGGGGCAGCATAACTTCCTTTTTTTAAATGTGCACCATTTTGTTTCTTCATGTCATAGCAAAGAGCTAGCAGTCTAGATCGAGAGGTGAGGCTATAAAGTTTAGTCTTTGCTCACTTTAGTCACCATTATGTGTTGGAACAGTGAGGAGTGTGCGTTTGCTGTCGAGGCCTACTTTTCAAGTGGATGTTCAGTGATCTCAGACCAGCACGCCTTTCGAATTCGGTTTAATTCAGCCCCGTTGGCCCCTGTTCCGGACCGGAAATCAATTGTTATGTGGTTCAATACGTTTGGACAAACTGCTATAGTGCAACAAAACAAAAAAAACTGGAGTCCCATTGCCCATTAGATCACCTGAGAACATTGAGGCAGTGAGAGCTTCAATGTTGTTATCACCAAGGCGTCCAGCGCTCAAACATGCGTCTGCCCTTGGACATTCCAATAGTTCTGTAACGAGAATTTTCTATGATGACCTACATTTCCATCTATACAAGATGGCGATTGTGCAGGAACTGTCAAAACGCCTTATATCAATCAGGTCGCCCTTGATGGGTGAACGTTTGCAATGGCCGGATAAATCTCCCGATTTGTCCCCTTGCGATTTTTTCTATGGGGTTTTTTGAAGTCCCACATTTATGTGAACCGTCCAAGGACCTTACAGATTTAAAAAACAAGAACCAAGGAGAAATTGTCAACATAACGCATGCTATGCTTGAAAGGTATATGACAAACACCAGAAATCGGTATACTCAATGTATCTAGAATGGGGGACGTCACCTGCATGATTTACTCTTCAAAACTATGTAAAACAAAACTTTAGGAATGTACTTACACTATAAAAACCAAATAAAGTTTGTCTGACTCATACAATGTGTTTTATTAAGCTTTGAAAAAAGGAAGTTATGCTGCCTCACCATGTACAAAATTAAAGTAAATAATTATTCAACAGTATGTTGTTAGTATAACCTCTTGATGTTTATTGTTGCAGGCACATCACTGTGGTGTCTGTCAATCATATCAAAAGTGTATCAAGGGAAGTAACGCAACTGCAGCCTGCATTATGTCAACCTCCTCCAACACTTTGGTCGCAGGTAAATTTCCTATGTTTGATATCCTAATAGAATCAAACAAATCAATATTGTTCCATACATTTATGTTGACACGGTAAAAGGTTTTATAAGCTAAACAGTAGTATTTCGGCCATCCCAATGGACGTTTACCTCCAGGTGTATCAATGTACAATAACACAATGGTAATAGACAAAATTATTGAATCACTTATTAAACAGCTGCATATTTGCATTAGCAATATTGAAAACATTTTGTAAGTTGTTTTGAGAGTTTGAGAGATCTCACATAAAATGTATTTTTTAAATGTGAGTGAAAATTTAAAAACGTACGTTTTCATGTCCCTGGCCTTTTACTTCGTAGATACTGGATTTATAGTTTATTATTATGTGTTTTAATATTTTTTGGGACGGGGGCAACATGTTACACACATTTATTTGGTTTTAAATAGGTTCTAGGTATTTTTTTCGTATTTTTAAAGTCTCGAAATTCACGACCATGACGTGTCCCTAGGGTACATTTTCCAACTTTCACGCTGTTTTTAGACTAATTATTCATGCCGAAATATATAAAGCAATATTTTTATGTCATCAATGGTTATTAAACTTACAAAAAAGGAGCATATTATAATTTTATTGTCATTGCAGACTGACTACCATGACAAAATAAGTCTGTCCCTCGATTTGGCGTCACGACCATTTGGGAAAAATTTTCAACTTTGGAGCACGACAGTGGCAAGCCTGGCGTCGATGGAGTCAGTTGGTTTTAGAGACTAGTTCGGGGTGTACGTCAGGATTGTAGTGCCTATCGTTTTGAGTTGAAAGGAGGAATTACAAGATTAATAAAGGAAAGATTGTGTTTTTTGTAATTTTGGTGTGTCCATGACCGTACGTAGTCATTCGATGAAGTAGACATGGTGTTAATTGTTGTTTATAAGACATTTCAATTGCTAGATTAACCTAGAAGTCCACTTTGTATCCTCGAACATGAGGTGCAGGGCTACCGCCAGAACAGAGACAAATAACACGTAATTT